TAAATTATATCTTTTCTAATTCTAGAACTCGGAAGGCTTCAGTAGGAGGATCTCAAGTTCAAAGTCAGCTTAGACCAAGGAGGGAAACCGCTTCCTTGATTTAAAAACAAAGTTAGCCAAGCATGGTGGCACACCTTTAATCCTAGGCAGGAGGCAGTAGCAGGCAATCTCTGTGAGACTGAGGCCAGCCTGGTCTACATAGTGAGTTCCTGGCCAGCTGTGGCTACAGGAACCCTGTCTCAAAAAGACCAAAAAAGAAAGAAAGAAAAAAAAAAGTAACATAAATAATGCCCCTTTATATATGTGCTCAGAAGTAAAACTACAAAATACTTGAGTAAACTATCATGAAAGAGTCAGTTTCAGAAAATGTTAGGATTATACCCCTATAAAAAGGATCTCTGTGAGTTCAAGGCCAGCCTGGTCTACATAGTGAGTTCCAGGACAGCTGGAGAGACCCTGTCTCAAAAAAACCAAAAAAAAAAAAAAAAACTATTACAGACATACAAGACATACAGGCCAACTGAGGCTACAGGGAGACCCTATCTGAAAACTTAAAAAAAAAATTTACAGTCATAAAATTAATTGAAAACACAAGACAAAAACAAAATAATAAGCACCCACATGGCAGCTGACAACTGTCCTTAACTCCAGTTCTAGGGGCTCCGACAGCCTCTTCTGTCCTCTGTGGGCATTGTATGACACGGGTGCATTACCTACATGCAGGCAATACACACATACACATAAAATTAAAATTAAATATATATATATGGGCCAGGCATGGGTGGCACGTGCCTTTAATCCCAGCACCCGGGAGGCACAGACAGGCAGATCTCTGTGAGTTCAAGACCAACCTGGTCTACATACTGAGTTCCAGGCCAGATGGGGCTACAGGAGACCCTGTCTCAAAAAGACCAGAAAAGAGGAAAAAAAAAAAAAAAAAAAAAAGGTGGGGGGCTAGAAAGATGGATCAGTGGCTAAGAGCACTGGCTGTTCTTGCAGAGGACTTGGGCTTAGTTCCCAATACCCATATAATAACTAACAACCATCCTTAATTCTAGTTCCAGAGGATTCAACACCCTCTTCTGGCTTCTGTGGGTGTGCTGGATAGCTTTAGTGTCAACTTGACACACCTGGGTTGAGGGAGCCTCAATTGGGGAATTGCCTCCATACGACTGGCCTATGGTCATGTCTGTGGGGCATCTTCTTGATTGTTGAGTGACTGGGGGGGCAGCCCACTGTGTTTGGTGCCACTCCTGGGCAGGTGGGCCTGTGTTGCATAAGCAAGCAAGCTGAGCAAGGGCCAGGGGAGCAAGCCAGTAAGCAGTGTCCCTCCATGGCCTGTGCTCCAGCTCCTGCCTCCAGGTTCCTGCCCTGAACTTCTACCTTGGGCTCCCTGATGAACTGTGACCCAAGAGATGTAAGCTGAATAAACCCTTTCCTCTCCAAGTTGGTATTGGTCAGAGTACTTTGTCACAGCAATGGAGAAACAAACTAGGATATACAGGTGCATTTACAAACATGCAGGCAAAAACACTCATATGCATAAAATATAAGTAAATAAATAAAAGTTAGTGCTCAATCCTGAGGACCAAAATTCAGATCTCATATTGGGTAGCTCACAAACTCCTGTAACTCCAGCTTCAAGGGATACAATTCCCTCTTCTGGCCTTTGAAGACACCCATACACACATGTATTCATACGTTCAAACAGACATATGTAGACACATACACAAATGAGAGCTGGAGAGATGGCACAGCAGTTGAAAGCACATACTGCTCCTGTAGAGGAGCAAAGTTCAGTTCCCAGGATCCGTGACAGTTGGCTCATGACCACCTGTAACTTCAGCTCCAAAAGATTCCATGCCTCCATGGGCACCTGAACTCATAACCACATACCAACATACCAGCGCGCGCACACACGCGCACACACACACACACACACACACACACACACACACTTCCACATAACTAAAAATAGAAATAAACCTTAAAAAAAAAAAATAGCCGGGCATGGTGGTGCATGCCTTTAATCCCAGCACTTGGGAGGCAGAGGCAGGCGGATCTCTGAGTTCAAGGCTAGCCTGGTCTACACAGTGAGTTCCAGGACAGCTGGGGCTACAGGGGACCCTGTCTCAAAAAGACCAAAAAAACCAGCATTCTGGAGGCAGAGACAGGTGGATCTCAGAGTTCGAGGCCAGCATGGTCTATATAGCCAGTTCCAAGTCAGCTAAGGCTACATAGTGGCTACATAGTAAGACCCTGTCTCAAAAAATAATTCAATTCAATCATTTAAAAACAATTGATGGAAGATGAAATCTCACTCAGCAAAATAAATTAAATTCACACCATGTGGGCCAGTGAGATTGCTCAATGGGTAAAGGCACTTGCTAAATCGGAACACCTGAGTTTGATCCTTGAGACTCACACAGTGGAAGGAGAGAACCAACTTCCACAAGTTCTCTGACCTCCACACAGAAGCCATGGCCTACCATACACACATACACATATAAATAAATAAATGTAATTAATTTTTAAAATTCATACCATGCAATGAAATACAGAATATAAATGACAAAGAAGAGGATCTTAAAAACAACCAGAGAGAAGCCAGGTGTGGTGGCTCATGCCTTTAGTCCCAGCACTCGGGAGGCAGAGGCAGGTGGATCTCTGTGAGTTCAAGGCCACCCTGGTCCACATACTGAGTTCCAGGCCAGCTGGGAGACAGACCCTGTGCTACAGGGAGACCCTGTCTCAAAAAGACCAAAACAAACAAACAAATCACAACTAGAGAGGAAAACAGATCACCTACAATGGCAGTGTAAAGTGGCTCAGTGGCAGAGGGACTGTCTAGAAAGTACAAGGCCTTGCATTTGTTCCCCAGCACTGGGTCGGGGGGTAGTGTTCAACAAGATGGATCTTTGTGGTTGGTAATGGTTTCCTTATAAGTTTATAATGTGTACTGGCAAGAGGGTGAATTCAATGACCTCAGTAGCTCCTGACCATCTGTTTTTATCATTAAACACAGACATTAAAACAGCCCTTGATCAGCTCTGTTTAGGCATCTGATGTAAGGCTTTACCCCCCATCCTAACGATTCTAGAACTCTTCATTCAAGGCATTCAATCCACTTCCATACTCTACCAGGAAAAAAAGAGACTTCAAAGGGTAATGTTTCTAGTGAGTCTTCAGGTAATGGCTCTAGGGAGTACAACAGGCTTTAGACCTGATTCAGGCATTACACTTAGTCACCATTTGCTTGAACTTGGGCCAACAAAAAAGTACGTTGTGCTTCTTCCTCTAAAGGAGAAAATACCACACAAGAACAGAGAGGAAACACAACCATCCATCCATCCCTGTGACTGAAAGCTTCCTCACCTGATCTGACCACTTGCCACATAGTCACAGCAGTAAAGCTCTCCAGAGGGCAGCAAGTTCCAGCTCCCTTGTCATCAATGCTTCCCACCCATCACAAAAAAAAAAACAAACTTGACAACCCTGAACATTCGAAACAAAAGACCAGGCCATAGACACTAGACAGAGGAAAGGATTAAAGCAAGTAAGTATCACGTTTCCAGTAGGCAGTGCCATTCCAAAAAGGAGTATAACTTAATCCTGAAATTAAAAAAAAAAACCAACCACCAGGACAAACCCCTGGGGATACAGCTCAGTGAGAGAGTGCTTGCCTAGCATGTACAAAGCCATAGGTCCAATCCCCAGTACCACCAACACACATACAAAACACTAAATGAAGCCGGGAAAGCCAGGCTCCTATTCTTTTACAGCCCCAAACACATCATTCCAAGGTCATGGCCATGACATACCATAAAATGACCGTGACATATGACATGTTCAACTACTGAGTAGTCATTAGGACAAAAAAGCCAGAAAAGCATAGAAGGAGATTCTAAAATATCATATGACAAATGCAACGCAGAGGTAAGCCAAAGCGCGTTACCCAAAGGCGGCAGCGGCAGCCCACAGGAACTTTCTCTCACAACCTTCACAGTCTTAAATTTGTATTCTCCGAGGTGCTTGCAGGAACAGCTTCTTACCTGATCTGACTCTCACAACAAACCAAGGAGGTAAGGTAGAAAAACTCTGAACACGAAATTGATTGGTTGGTCCAAGACAAGGAGCATCCCCAACAGTTCCTTCCTCTTGATGATGCTCGACCCTCCTAGCACTACCTACACTACAGCACACCTAGTACTACCCACGCAACCCCAGCCAAATTAAACATAAACTTCTGGGCCTCCATCTGTAAGCCATGAACAATATCAAAAGGACGATCCTTACACAACGTGCAACACAAGGCCAAAAACGTAGTGGGTGCTCGGACACTGCTTACTGCAGCCATCGCCAATACGGACAGGCCGGCATGCCGCGTCACAGGACCGTCCGCTGTGGCACTACCCGAAACCCCGTGGCCCTAAGCCACGCGCCCACGGTCACGCCCCCAAACAGACCTTCCCCCTCTGGGACCACTGCCTTCGGCAAAGCCGGTCCCCTAGTCACGAAGGAGGACTTCCTCTCGCTCCGCGTCGTCAGCACCCCCTTTAAGGCCTGGCGTCCCGAGGACAGCCGGGACTCACGCCAGCCGCCGGCTCGTGCCGGTTACCTGGCCGCGCGCGCACTCTCTTCGCCAAGCGCTCCCCGGGACCGCACGTCCTCGCGACGGAGCTGGTACAATGAAGACACACAATTAGTTCAAACTACGGTCCCGCCCCCTGTCGCCGCCCTCTCATTGGCCCCGGTCGGCTGTAGTCGTTCGCGAGGCACACTAGAGAACCCGGGAAAAGGAAGTGTGAGGGCCACTGGGAAGGAAGAAGGGGTAACACTACTTCCGGACCCTAGTCTGGACTCGAGGACTAAAAGAACTACCAATCCCAGAAATCCCCGCGGCCTCAGAGCCCAGCCCCGACGAACTACAAGTCCCTGTATGCACTGAGCGGAGCGAACTGACAGCACAGGCTGAGACGTGGTGACCAAAGTAGTTGCCATGGAGTTGCGCTGAGTTACTCTCAGGTAGTGGGACACCGAGGCTGGAGGGGAAGCGACTGCGGGTGAGTTGGGCGGGAAAACAGGAAACCCGTTCTGGGACACTAGAGCTACACAGAATAAGAATTTAACGACTCCGCGACCCTAGGTCCCTCCGCAACCCTCTTTCCCGTTCACGGTGAGCACCACACTGTGAGATAAAGTGGGGGTGGGGGTAAGACGTAAAGGTCGCTGAGATTCATACTCATACATATTTAGGGTTGTTTACGAGCCCCTTATAGCGAGTATGTTCTTCCCGATACGGATGTTTCAGGTCTCATACTCTGGGAAATCAGAAATGCCATCAGGCATGGGGTTCATTTTCCTCCGGGAAGCCAGGACACTCTACAATTCACGTTAGAGTAAATCACGGCCCTAATTCAGGAGATGCAGAAAAATGATAAGGAGATTGTAGGACCCCCCCTATTCCTTACTCTTCCAAGCAAGAAGACCCTTTTCAGGGAGTCAGTACATTCTTCCCATACACTTGTGTTAATGGTGCTGTCTGCCGAAGACTCTTCCACCTGCACCGGCCTTGATTTTCTGGAAGCTACAGTTCTTCATTTCTTTCACGGTTCTCATGACAGAACGAGTACATTTAGTAACTTCCCCAATTCGTTCACAGCCTCTCTTTCTACTCATAACAGCTTGGTGTCTCAAGGATATTTATCCCCATTTCACAGACTGAAAAACTGAAACCCTGAGAGAAGTGATTCATCCAAAACCACACTCCAAATCAATGACAAAGCTAGAAGTAGATTCCAGTTCTTCAAGTCAACTCTTTTTCGCTTGAACCTATTGCAGCTGTGGCTTGAACTTGTCCCAAGAATGAAGTTAAATTTCCCCAGGGAAAAGGAACCTGTATGACCTATTTTGTGTTATTTACACTTTACAATTTCTAGAAAGGAAACTATAGGCAGAAGACAGTGGGGATCAAACACATTTAAATTAAACAAGAAGTGGGACACTGGAGTTCTGAAGCCGCCATTCACTGGCCCTGACTAGCCACTTACTATCTTGAAGTTCTTACAGACTTAGTCTTCTGTTTCTCACCTCCCTAGATTCTCCTCCTGGTGCTCAACCACACCCACACCTTTGCCTCCTGGCTGTCTCTAGCCAAGCCCTCATCTCTAAGCTCCATGTCTGTATAACCAACTGTGTGCTTGACATCTCCTTCAAGATATCTTAGAGGAAAGCCAAATTCAGCATTTCTCTGCACCCCAACCTTTCCTTCAAGCCTGGATCTCATCCAGTGTTTCTCAATGAATGTACACAAACAAAAAACCCAAGTGCCACCATCCATTTCTCATAAAGTTCTGCCATGGTTTTTTTTGGGTGTTTTTTTTTGGGGGGGGGTCTGTTTTTGAGACAAGGTCTCTTTGTAGCCTCAGCTGGCCTGGAACTCACTTTGTAGACCAGGCTGGCCTTGAACTCACAGAGATTTGCTTGCCTCTGCCTCCCAAGTACTGGGATTAAAGGCATGTGCCACCACACCCGGCATAAAGTTCTGCCAGCTTTAGTAATACCTAAATTCTTATTTTTATTTATTTTTAAAATATTTTATTTGTGTGTATGAGTTTTGCCTGTCTGTAAGTGCACCTGTGCATGCAAAGTCCATGGAGGCCAGAGGAAGGCATTGGATCCCCTGGAACTGAAGTTAGAGATGGTTGTTAGCCACTTTGTGGGTGCTGGGAACTGAAACCCAGGTTCTCTGCAAGAGCAGCCAGTGTTCTTAACTATTGAATCAGTCTCTCCAGCCCCTTGTTTCTTATTTCTTGAGAATGTTATGTATGTATATAATGTGTTTTGACCAAATCATCCCATTACTTCCCATCCAGTTCTGACCCTATCCCTTTAAATGTCTTTTTTTCTTTTTCCTTTGAGATAGAGTCCTCACTATGTAGCCCTGGTTGGCCTGGAACTTGCTTTAGAGACCAGGCTGGCCTCAAATTCACAGAGACCTGCCTGCTTCTGCCTCCCAAGAGCTGGGATTAAAGGTGTGTGTCACCATGCCCAGCTAACTGTTATATATTTTTATTATTTTTGTGTATGTGTGTGTTTGCATATGTGTTTACCATGTCTGTGGGGTGGCCCTGGAGGCCAGAAGAGGGCATAAGATCCCCTGGAGCTGGAGTTACAGGTGGTTGTGAGCCACCTGATGTGGGTGCTGAACTCAGTCCTCTGAAAGAGTAACAAATGCTCTCTGCTAAGCCATCTCTCCAGCCCCATTGCTTTTTCTTAGAGGCAGTGTCTTCCTATATAGCCCAGGCTGGTCTAAACTTGTGATTCTCCCACCTCAGCCTCCCAAGTGTAACTTTTATCCAATCCTAGCTACCATCCTGTCTTTCCTGCCTTCCTTCCTAGCTATTTTGCATGATACAACCAAAATAATTATTCAAAATGGAAATTTGATGTTGTATACGCTCCTCTACCCACAATTCAATATATACTTTGTGGTTTCCTGTTGCTTTTAGAATAAAGCAGTATCTCAAGATAGCTTCTGCCCACCTCTCCAGCCTGCACTCTAGCCATATGTACCCGCCCCTTTTCCAGTCTAGTTTGTTACTTTATTTTTATTATTTTTTGGTCTTTCTGAGACAGGCTCTCCCTGTAGTTCAGCTGGCCTAGAATTCACCATGTAGACCAGGCTGGCCTTGAACTCACAGAGATCCACCTGCCTCTGTCTCCTGAGTGCTGGAATTAAAGGTGTGGAATTAAAGGTTTGTATTATTTTAGAGTCTTCAAATTTTCTGAGTACACCCCCTCACCCCCTAGCATGGAGCCTTGGCCTTTGCCCACAGCTGAAATGCCTGTCCTTTTTGCAGGGAGGGGATTCTGGGAATTAAACCCAGAGTCTCATACATGCTAAGCACTCACTCTGTCACTGATCCACCACCCCTAGAAAGCTCATATTTTCCCCCTGTTGTCCTGTGCTTTTCCCCTGTACTTATCCTTCAGCATTCTTTCAATCATTTCTTCAGAAATGACCAGGTCCAATCCCTCAATTATAGCAGGCTTATGTCCTTCTCTGTCATCTTATTCAGTTGTGGTATTCAGGTACTGTCTACTTGTCACTGTTATGAGATATATCTATGAGAAAAATGTGGTTCCTGCCCTGGTGGAGTTTATAGTCAGATAAATTGTGAGCAGATAATTACAATGTTTGAGTGCTACCATGGCAATAAGCATAGGTTATTGTGAGAACCAAGAGAAGTTCCATATCCAGATTTGTGGATGAGGATAAATTTTTCAGAAAAGTTGAAACCTGAGCTGAGTCCTGAAGTAAGAAAGGAAAGAGTTGAAGGAAACTATATTCCACACAGAGATATGGAAGGGGAAACTCTTTCAAGCACAGAGGCCCAGGAGCAAGTGCAGCGAATTCACTGTGAGTTGTTGAATTTGGCTGAATTGCAAAATATGGTGAAGATAAGAGCTGGGAGTAGACAGGCAGGAGCCAAGCTGTCCCTGAACTTCCCTTCAGCATCCAGGAATAATCTTCCTGAATATATTCGGATTATGTAGCAGATTGTTCATGGCATTCTTCTTCCACCTGCAGCCCATAGGCAGATACCTCTTTAAATTAGGCTGTCAGTCTCTATCAACTTTCTTCATCTGATTGCTTTAAGTCTCCTACATCGTGTCACAACATGCTTAAGAAAGGATAGAAATGGGCTAGCAACAAATCAGAGTCTAATTATTAGTAATTTCACCAAACTGGAAAGAAATTTTTATCAACCTAGAGTTGATTAAATAATAAAGTTAACCCAGGCATGGTGGTACTTGCCTTTAATCCCAGCACATGGGAGGCAGAGGAAGGTGGATTTCTGTGAGTTCGAGGCCAGCCTGGTCTACATAGCAAGTTCCAGGCTAACTGGGGCTACAGAGAGACCATGTCTCGAAAAGACCCCCCCCCCAAAAAAAAAGTTAAAATATGATGTATACTCTGGACCACTCTGCAGCTATTAAAAAGGATAAAAAGTACCAGAATTTGAAAAGAAAAAAATTGGCCTACATAGGAATACATAGGGCTTATTTTAAAAATATCTAACATCTTAGATATGTTGTAGGTGATGGCCAAACTGAGAGTAAGGCTTGTTTCCGCTTCTGCCTGCACTTCTCTGTGCTGTCTGACTTGACTTCAGCTATCATATTAACTTCTACAGTTAAAACTGATGTTAAAACATTCCATTTCAAAACAAAATATGTCCCTAACCCTATCATTGGGTAAATCAGTCATCAGTATGGTGAGATGACTACCCTGTCTTCTAGCTATGAGTCAAGAGGGCAGCTGGGAAACCCTGACCCCAGAGTGCAGCCGCAGGAGCAAGCAACACAGCATCCAGCTTTTTCAGTTCTCCTGAAGTCAGGCCTTCTGTGTGACACCTTGGAGTCATGATTTATTCCCTTGTTTCTTCTTTCATTACTCATTTATCTGTCAAAACAGTACCCAGTCTTTGCCAAATTCAATGGAGTATTTATGGAAACAGAAATCTGACTTCTTGTTCCTGTCCTCAAGATTACAGGAAGAAGACAGAAAATAGTAACCAGTACAGAGGGCTGAGGGCATAACTCAGTTTGTAGAGTGCTTGCCTGGCATGCACAAGGCCCTGGGTTCAATCCCCAGTACCACACACAGAAAAGCACTGAGAGTACAACTTCCATTTATTGAACAAATGGTCCACAGGATAGTCCACAGGATAGTTCTTAAGGTAGGGTTTGTCTACATTTCACAAGAAAACAGATGGCAATAAAGTTTTCAAAGTCAACTGGACACATGTATCCATTAGCTATTGCTATGTAACAAACCATTGCAAACAACAAAGGCTTAAGTCAATAAGCATTTATTCTTACTTCCATGTCTCTGAGTTATTCAGATGGTTCTTCTGGGCTTGGCTGAGCTCATTTATATGCCTGTGATCATTTATGGGTTGGTGGCCCTCCTGGTCATGACAGTGGGAGTGGGCTGGCTATAGGCTAGTCTGGGTTGGCCTCAGCTGAGATTGTTGGCTCACTTTCACATGTCTCTCACCTGCACACCTCTTAACGGCCCACTGACAGCAAGAAAGCAAGCCTTCTTATAAAGCTTTTGCAGGACTGGGGATGTAGCTCAGTGGTAGAGCACTTGCCCAGCAAATTGCAAGGCCCCTGAGTTCAGTGTCCAGGACCAAAAACAACCAAAACAAAAAAAAAACTAAATAAAATACACACACACACACACACACACACACACACACACACACACACAGAGCAAACAAAAAACCCCTTTAAATCTTTTTTAGACAGGGTCTTACTATAGAGTCCCAGATGGCCTGGAACTTACTATGTGGACCAAGCTGGCCTCAAACTGCTTCTGTCTCCTGAATGTTGGGATTAATGCATGCACTACAACACCTGGCCCTTTTTCCTTCATAAATGCCGAGCTCATCATCAGAGTGGGATGGAACTACAAAATTATAGGGCAAAAGAGGATGGATATAGGGGAGACTATGAATAGGAATCGTTGAAACAATCTAACACCAGACACACTGATCTAGTTTTATCTAGAAAAGAAAGGTTGTTACAGGGCTGGAGAGATGGCTCAGCAAGTCCTCTTATAGAGGACCTGGGTTCCATTCCCAGCATCCACATGGTGACTAATAGCTGTCTGGAACTCCAGTTCTGGGGGATCTGATGCCCTCTTCTGGCCTCCATAGGCACTGCACACATGTGATGCACTTACTTAAATTACTCAGGCAAAATACACATAATTTTTTTTTAAATTGTTTAGGGCCAGGTGTGGTAGCACATGCCTTTAATCCCAGCTTTTGGGAGGCAGAGGCAGATCTCTGTGAGTTCAAGGCCAGCCTGGTCTACATAGCAAATTCCAGGCCAGCTAGGGTTACAGGATGACCCTGTCTAAAACAGAAAAAAAAAATTGTTTAGAAAAGGTTTTATAAAGCCACATATGCCTGCAATCCCAGCATTTTGGAGATAGAGGCAGAAAGATCAGAAATTCAGGTCATCTTCAGCTACATAGTGGGTTCATGACTAGCTGGACTATGTGAGAACCTGTCTACTTTTTTACTTTTTAAAAAGGGGGCATGCTGCAGAGATGGCCCAGAGGTTAAGAGCATTGGCCTGCCTACTCTTGCAGAAGACCGAGGTTCAGTTCCCAGTACCCACATGATGGCTAACAATTGTCCTTAACAATTGTTCCAGGGGAGCTGACACCCTCATCTGGCCTCCATGGGCATTGCATGATACAAGTGCACTTACATACATGCCAACATACCATACATACAAATTTTTTTTAATAAAAAAAAAAGAGAGCTGGAAAGATGACTCAGTAGTTAAGAGCCCATACTGCTCTTGCAGAGAGCCCAAGTTTGTTTCCCAACACCCTGTATCTGGTGGCTCACAACTACCTGTAACTCCAGCTCCAAGGGAGAAACACACTCACATACATATAATTTCTAAAAAGAAAAAAAGATTGTATATAAGAAGGGACAGTAGGGGCTAAGGCCTGTTGGCAAGTTTCCAGCTATTTATTGAGAGACACTGTCTCAAAAATGGAAGTGGATGGTGTCTGCAGAACAGCACCCAAGGTTGTTCCCTGTCCTCACACACATGCACATCTATACACACACATGCACCCACAATTTTTTGTCTTTTTGAGACCTGTAGCCCCAGCTGGCTTGGAACTATGTAGACCAGACTGGCCTTGAACTCACAGAGATCTGCCTGCCTCTGCCTCCCAAGTGCTGGGATTAAAGGTGTGAGCTACTATGCCCAGCACACCCACAATCATAAACACAAGAATGTACACCTGCCAGGTGTCGTGGCACACAGGTTTTAATCCCAGCACACAGGAGATGGAGGCAGATGAATCTCTGCGTTCTATGTCAACTTGGTCAACATAGCAAGTTCCATAGCAAGTTCCAGCCAGCCAGGGCTGTAGAGAGAGACCCTGCCTTAAAAAAAAGAAAAAAGAAAGAAAAAGAGGAGGAGGAAGAGGAAGAGGAGAGATACATTAGGGCTAAATGTTGAAACTCATACATCACTTGGAACTGGCTGGCCACAGACTGCTTTGCCACAATCAATAGAAACCCAGTAGGTATTTGGGTATTTCTGGGATACTGACAGGGCTTTATTATTTGTGCCTTTGCTTCATGCCTTTTGGTCAGGCCCTAGAAGCAGGCCCTCAACAAATGTTTGCAGGCTCAAATTGATATCTTACTGTGAGTGAGGTGTGGAATGAAACAGCTGAACCTAGGAGCCAATTGTTGGAAAGAACACCTCAGCATCAGCTCTCCCCAAACAAATCCTTGTATTGGAAAGTTTCTTATTCCCCAAGTGCCAGGTTCTGGTGTGATGATAAATAAGACAACAGTAATTACCAACCCTTTCAATCAACCAAATTCATCCACCTTCTTAGGGCTCCATTTTAATCCTAACTTGTTCAGAAAATGCATCAGAAGTTGGTGCTACACAAAGTCATTTCTGAAGTACCAAAGAAATTAACAGTATAATTTTTTCTTTGGTATTTTAAAATACATGTTCAAGGGCTGGAGGAGTGGCTCAGCAAATCAAAGCACTTGCTGCTTTGCAAAAAACCTGCATTCAGTTCCCAGAACCCACATGGCAGCTTACAACTGTCTGCAACCCAGGGGATCTGACACCCTCTTTTGGCCTGTACAGGCTCCTGGTGCACATACATACACTCAGGCCCACACACATACACATACAATTAAAAGAATATATCTGCCAGGCATGGTAGCACATGCCTTTAAAAAAATTTTTAAAAAGTTCGGTGGTGTGGAAATCTAGGACTTAGTTTGAGGACTTAGTTGAGGTATGCCTCAAAGGCATACCTACTGTAGGAAAGCTGGTGTGCTGTGCACTCCTATTATCTTAGCACTTGGAAGTAGAAGCAGGAGAACCAGAAGTTCAAGGTCATCCTTAGCTACATGGTGAGTTTGAGACCAAAGTGGAATACATGGGACTTTTTCTTTCCGTCCACCATTGTGTGGGCTCCAGGGACCAAACTCAGGTTGCTGGACTTGTGCAGCAAACATCTTTGCTTGCTTGGTCTGTCACTGGCCCCTAGAGCTCTTATGTTTTTTTTTTCTGAGATAGGGTCTCAGGTAGCCTTGGCTGGCCTAAGGAAATAAAGCAGAGGAAGTGACAACAGTGGGTGAAGTGATAAAAGGGAGGCTGATCAGAACGTCTTTTGTATGATTCACACACATACACAAAAGAAAACAAAACAGCCCTTGGTAAAGTGTTTTTTTTTTTTTTTTTTCCAGCTTTCTTCATCCCAGGTGAGTAGTATTCCACAACTCTTCCCAGTCTCCAGTTTTATTTTACCTAACTTATTGGAAAGGATTGGATAAGACAATTCATACCACATTACAAATGTCTGATAACTTTGTTTTTACCCCTCTTTTGGAGCATTTCCATTTTAACAGGGAACAATCCCTGAGCTCAAAGGAATGAAGCCCTAAGGCCTCAGTGACAGGTGAGTGAGTGTAGACTCTGGTTTTCTGTCTCTTCACACTGTTACATCCAGGATGTGACTAGAAGTAGGGTTTTCAGATAGAAAGGGCTGACATGCTGAACAGAGAAGGCAGCAAATCTCCAGTTGGGTCAGAAAGTGAAGGGCTCTCAGACACCAACCAGATTCAGTGCTGTCCTTCAACAGTTTGTTAAGCAATAGAATAGCCCAGCTGATGTCACTAGAGAATAGGCAGCAAGACAATCTCCATGGTAACTACTGTGGAGTAGCAGAAAGGCTCTCAGAGTAGGGTTCAGGGGACTATGATTGCTGTCCACAACTGATTCTGCTTAATACTGGCAAGTCCTTTACCCTTTGGGTCTGTTTCTTTATCTGAAAAATGGAAATGGGTGCTATAGCCAAGTGTGATGGTGCAAACCAATAATCACAGCACTCCTGAGGCAGGTGGGTTGTGAGTTTGAGACTAGCCTGAGCTACATAGACCTTATCTCAATAAAACAAAGCAAACAAAAACCCCATAAGAAATAGTTGCTATCACTATCAAATTAGTTCTAAGTGTTGTGAAGATGCTCTGAGAAGTAAGAAGTATCCCACATATGCAAGTATCTCAACATGGAAATGCAGCTGGGCAAACCTAGTTACAGAGAGTAGAAAGCAGGGTGGAGGGCTGTGGGGAAGCCCAAGGGTAGATGACCCCATCCATACCTGGAACACTTTCTCTCTGTCCTCCCAGGCTGAACCCAGAATTCTAGGGCCCATGCTTGTACCTGATGAATGATGGCCTGAACTATGAGCAGACGGTACTATATGAACACTTCGGTGCAGGAGCCTCCTCTTGACTACTCCTTCAGAAGCATCCACGTGATCCCAGGTCAGCTCACCAACACAGCACTCCACACATCATGGCAGCAGGCTGTAGGTACCTAGGGAGAAGCCTCAGTCTTCTACTTCAAAAGCCTAAGTAGATTTTTTTTCCCAACTTTTTGTCTTTGAAGGAAGAGGGGGTGGATAGGAATTTCTTATTGTCTTACAGTGCTAGAGAGTGAACCCAAGGTCTCACATATATTGGGCAAATATTCTGCCACTGGGCTATAATTCCAGTCTTCAGATTTTCTTAAAGTAGAAAATCTGAAAGCAACCAGAGCCCTCTTAAGGTAGTTGACCATCTTCAGGGGCACCCAGGCTACAGCAGGAAAATCATGAAGAAAATTGAGAAATCAGTCTATTGGCCAGTAATTTATGTTTTTATCTGAAAAGAGGAGGAAACTAGTGAGAAAAAATAGGCTGCTACCAAGTTGGCAGAACGCTGTCTCTTCTGCTAGGAACATAGAGGCCTGTTCTGATCACTGCTAAAACATGAGCAGTCTTCCTAGCAAAAAATTGGCATGTTTCCAGTTTGAATTTTTCTTGACAAATCTCTTCCATTCATTCCAGCCATACCAAGTTTATTATATCATCACACACATTCACTGTGGTTCCAACCTGCCACATGCATTCTTATTTTGCCATTCAATGTCTTCCTAAAGGTCCCTTCAGGAAGGGACGAAGCAAAGCTCTCTCAGATATCCTATGTTCAAGAAGTAGGCAGTTCCAGAGCTGGAGAGATAGCTCAGGGGTTAAGAACACTGGCTGTTCTTGCAGAAGACCTGGATTCAAATCCCAGCACCCACATGGCAGCTAACAACTGTCCGTATCTCCAGTTCCAGGGGCTCCAACAGCCTCTTCCGTCCTCCACGGGCATTGCATGACATGGGTGCACTTATCTATGTGCAGGCAATACACTAATTAAAAAAAACACAAACAAAAAACAAGTAGGCGGTTCCTCCCCAGTTCTGCCACCCTTGTGTTTGGTTACTGGCCTCACAGAACACATGTCCACACTCACTATCCTACATACATGGTCTGGCTTTGGTTTTCTCTCAGGTAGCCACCCATTAGCTCAAGTGTTATTAGCCTTGACTTTAGGGTACTACTTGAGTTAGTATCTGCCACAGTGTTAATGCATATCTGTCTCTTCCCAGCACACACCCACCTACTGTGGGCTTTATTGTGCTTTGCATCACTTCTGATTGATATATAGTTCACATTTTGCAAGGTTTTAGCTGCAATAATAGCTTTGTGCAAGATAGCAGATAGCAGAAGTGACTGGGAGGTAGAGTGTAATGGTTCCCACTGTAGCATGAGAATTCTCAGAATGAGGGGAGACAAGTCAGTTCTACCAAGGGTGTCTGTTCAGCTGCAAACAGAATCTGCAGATGCCTCATACTCCAGCCAATAGTTCTATTATGGACTCATGTACACATACATATATACCATGCAATTGTGCAATTCTTGCTAAGTGTGTTAAGGGGTAGAAAAAAGAGGCCTATCAAAGCCTCCCAACACCAGAGTCTCTTCAGGTTCCCCAGAGCTTCAGAAACACTTATAGGTAAGGTTAAAGGAAGGATCAAGTTTAGGGGTTCTTGGGACATTTTGCTGAATTATCTGAACAGCAGTGACTTAACAGAGCATCTAATCTGTACTACCTGATCAGAGAGAAGCTTGGGAATATCACCAAACATGGGCTTATCCCATGCAAAACCCAAGAACCCTCTAATATCTACTACAGACACATTGTTAGGGAGTTTATCACCTAAACACCTGCCAATCCCTTCCACTGTGGAGACTGATAGATGACACCAAAAGTTCTTCCTATCACATGACTCCTGCCTTCTGGAGACACGTGGGAAAAGTTGCATGGCAACCCTTCAGACATAGGGAGGATCAAAGCTTCCCTGGGCCTTCCTAGAGCCAGTGCCTCCCAATTCTGTTAAGTGTCGACACTTGTAGTCCAGTATCCAGCCCTGCCTTGGCCTATTCTCGGCAAGGATGCTTTAACACATGCTTAAGTTCTGTGGTGCCTTGGTGAAACCTGAGGGGACCAGGTTCCTATGGCAATTATAGATGCCCCTCTCCACCCTAAGTAACAGGCGTTCCAGTCTGCCTCATGTTATAGACAACTCCATCCAGTGGTTCCCTCACAGCTTGGGATCAGCCTATGTATGGTGGTATTTCCTGAGCTTCTGCCTTATCAGACTAGGCGCTAGTTCATATGGAGTTATTGTAACATTATTATTCATCTGACTCATTTCATTTGAAGGTTTTTGGAGGTGTGAGAGGGAGGTAGGATTTGAAGTCTACTCATGAGTGGAGGTGCTCTGCACCATTATCCATCCTCAGGCAACTGTAGGTCCTGCTTACTCCAAGACTAAAGTAGACAGCCACCTGGTGGATGCTGTCTGACCTGCAGCTAACGAGAGGAAGTCAGCTGGGGTGGAAAAATGTGTGGCGTGAAATAAAGGAGTGTGAAGACTGACTGGCTAGACTTAGCACATGCTAAGTCCTTTCTTCCGCATAGGCTGCCTGTTAAAAGGCTTAGAGGCAGTAGGAAAAATGTCATCACTTCAACCTGGAGTCTGGTTCTGGCTTTCACGTTGATGCCAGCTTGAGCAGGCCTACCTTTTTTATGAACCTCATTTGAAACAAGGCGCGGGGAGGGGATACAACGCCCTCTTCTGTCCTCCTTGGGCACTGCACAACATGGGTATACCTACCTACATGCAAGCAATACATTCATACACATTTAAAAAATGTAGAAAAAAAAATAGCAGGGAGGGGTGCATGTGTGCGTCCTCTGCAGCCCTCACTTTCTGACCTGGGATTCAGACTACAGCTTGTGCTTCCTTGTTGTCTAGTCACTGTCCTTCCAGGGCCTCAGGCTCTTACCAAGCAACTTCTGAGCCACCAGAAAGAGTGCTCAGCCCTTGTCTTCCTCGGAACTTACTCCTCCAATATACTGTAGACTCCAAATGGTTTTAAAACTGTTCCCTCCTGTTCTCCTGGCCATTCATTAATCTCTGTAATGGATTCCTCTTCCTTTTTGACCCTCCTGAGGTATCGCTTCTATTTTCCTAACCTGTATGCCCTGTAGTAATGATTCTCCAGGATATCTCCTAAGCCTCATACCTTCACTCATGTCCCCCTGGCTTCTCTTGCCTTTTCATAGGACAGGAACCTCTAACACACCAAAACCAAGCTAATGAACTTGTCACTTCCCAACCCAGTTTCTCCTTTTGTTTCTCCATCAGTTAATTCGGCCTATATCCATACTCAGTCACCTGAACAAAAAGCTGTCCACCATCCTCGTACAGCCTTCTACCTTGACATCAGTCAGCTAAATCATGACGATTGCTGCATCTAGCTGGTCTCAGGCTAACTAAAACAGCCACTAATCTTTGAGTTCCACCTACCACCTAAAATCTGTAATTTCTAGATAGAAGCTTCAAAGTAACCTTTTAGGTGAAAATTTGAATTGCCGGTTTTAAACACTCCAATGACTTCCCATTACCTACAGGACAAAACCCAAGATCTTAGCCTAGCATTTAAGCGTAAGAACTGGCTCCTGGCCCCGTTTTCTTCCTTGAGCCCTCGTACACATGCACCTCCACACTGCTTTCTCCGTCTTTGCTTATGCTGTTCTCATCCTTTCTACCCCTTTGCCTGGTTATATCTAATCCGAGAGCTGCTTAGTCTTCCCCTTCCCTGAGCTCTCAGGCTCTGCTGTGAGGACCTCTTCATGGCTGCGACTGTGGACTACCATGTAGTACTACTGCCAATTTGTTTCCATCTGCCCACTGAAAGTCCTCCAGAGCACAAACATCTGCTTTATCCCTGCCCTACTGCTCATCCAGAGCCTGGCACATTCTCATTTTGTTTACTACTGTGTGCATACTATCTGGTATGTTGTAGCTCATTAATGGAAGGAAGGAAATGCTTCATTGAAGTGCATTCTATAAGCTCTACTAGCGGGTAATTCTGTATTTTGTACTGTCATCTTGGTTCAACTCCAACAACTCTGAGAGGGTTATACTTTCTGTAATATGGGAGTGGTTCTGCCCTACCTCAACACCAACACAGGTGTGGCACAGAACCTAGTCATACAAGAGACACGAGACCATCTGACCTAGAAGAATTGGATGGGAAGTCTTTGGCCCTTACTCCAAACTTACTCTGATCACTGAAGCCTGAGATAGGGTCTTATTACACTCAAGTACAGTGCTGTGGCCCTGCCAGACCCTCCAGCTAGACCTTGCATGCTTGTTTTTAATAGCCCCTCTTAACTCACCAAAGGCATGAAAGCAAAGATGATAAACCCAAGCCTTCTTTTGTCCTCACAGATCTGGTAAGTGAGGAGCCAAGGACAGGTCTACGACCAGTGAAGCACTCCAAGTCAGGAAAGTCACTGACCCAATCTCTGTGGCTCAACAACAATGTCCTCAGTGACCTGAAAGACTTCAGCCAGGTGGTTTCACAGCTTCTGGAGCACCCAGAGAACCTGGCCTGGCTCGACCTGTCCTTCAATGACCTGACTTCCATCGACCCTGTGAGTTCCCAACCCTAGAATTCAGTCTTGGGATGGCTTGGAAGCCAGTGTCCAGCTCACAGTCTTTCCACTCCCTTATCAAGGAAGCAGAGGCAATATGCTGCAGTTCAAAGCCTATAGCTGTAAGGTCACACAGATGTGGTTCAAATCTTGGGTCTGCATCTTACAGTGTGACTGTGGGCAAGCCACATAACACCTTAGCCTGTTTGAAAAATGAGGATAAGATGCCAGAATCATAAAGATTTTTTAGGAGTAAATGAAACTGGTACAACAGTGGCTGAAGCAAAACTGCAGCTGTCATCATTGGGCACCTACTGTGTCTTCTGAGTTCTACTGCAGAAGAGGTAGGTAGAAGCCAGGCGTGGTGGCACACGCCTTTAATCCCAGCACTCAGGAGGCAGAGGCAGGCAGATCTCTGTGAGTTCAAGGTCAGCCTGGTCTACAAAGTTCCAGGATGGCTGGAGCTACAGGGAGAACCTGTCTCAAAGATACCCCCCACCCCCCAAAAAAGTATATCAATTTCTGTGATTCTGTTTAAGAAATAAACAGAATTTGGCCAAGGTATGTTGGGACACGACTGTAATCCTAACACTTAGAAGGTGGAGGCAGGAGGATAGAGTCAAGGTCATCCTCAGCTACACAGTGAGTTTGAGGCCAGCCTGGACTACCTAAGAAAGGAAGATGGAGGAAAAGAAGATAGGAAAGGAAGCAAGCAATGAAGGAAAAAAGGAAGGAAGAAAAATAAATAGCATTGCTAGTCCACCCTGAGCAGAGATCCAGGGTCCTATCCAGCCTGGCTATTTCCTCCCAACAGGTCCTAATGACGTTTTTCAACCTGAGTGTCCTTTACCTTCATGGCAACAGCATCCATCGCCTGGGGGAGGTGAATAAGCTAGCTGTCCTCCCCTGTCTCAGGAGCCTGACCCTCCATGGGAACCCCATAGAGGAAGAGAAGGGATACAGGTAAGCATCCTGTCCTGTCCTTGAAGTCAAGATGGGCTCTCCTAAGGGATGGGACACACACACACACACACACACACGCGCACGCACAAAACCAAGACCATTCTTCTGCCACATGTGGACCAGAGAAGGAAGCAGACCTCCAAGCATTTCCCTGGCTATCAGTCAGAATGAACGTAGTCTCCCCAGATCAGTCAAGCACCTCCACTCCTTGCAATCGGGAGATAGCAGCAACTGGTAGACAGGGAGGGTTCTGTTGGGGGGGCTGGCCCCCAGCCCAAGTTTTCCCCACAGGCAGTATGTGCTGTGCAACCTGCCCCGTGTCACCACATTCGACTTCAGTGGGGTCACCAAAGCAGATCGCACCACAGCGGAAGTCTGGAAACGCATGAACATCAAGTTAAAGAAGGGCCAGAACAAGAAGGACATACTCTGAGATTCGCAGGACTCCAGCTCTCCTAATGCCCTGAAGATGATCAACTTGGTTTAACAATAAATGATTTGAGTTGTTCAGCAGATTAGATGTCCCCTGTACCTTGTTAAAATGCCCTCCACCATGAGCCAGTAGCATTTCACTGAGGCATGTAGTTAAGGCAAAGACTTGTTGGCTTGAGACCCAGGAGCCTGGGGTCACCACATGGGAAACTTTTCTATCCTCTCTGGGCCCCCTCTGTACTCTTCATCTTACAGATATGGAACTAGCGTAGATTAGCAATTTCCAAATTATGTTTTTTGAAACAAGTTCTCAATCTGTAACCGAGACTGGCCTTGAACTTGTGGCAATCCTCGTCTCAGTTTCTAGAGTTGCTGTTATAGGCATGAGCCACTGTGCCTGGCCCAAATTCTTCAGAGTGCCAAAGTCCATGGAGCTTCCTACAACCTCCATGGGTAGGCCCAGAAGATAGCTCTGATCGTCAGTCAGAGCAGTTCTTGTGTGTGTGTGCATGTGTGTCCATGGGCACGTGCACTGTTTTTAAGAGGATTATTTTGTATATAAGTGTTTGCTTGGATGCATGTATGTGTACCACATGTGTACTTGGTGCCTTTGGAGACTAGAAGGGGGTATTGGATCTCCTAGAACTGAAGCTACAGATAGCTGAGACACATCTGATATACGTGGGTGCTGGGAACAGAAACTGGGTCCTCAGCAAAAGCAGCAAGTGCTCTTAACTGCTGAACTATTTCTCCAGCCCTGAGCCAAGTAAATTTACTCTTAGGCTGGGATTCTGCTTAAGATTTCATTTGCTAAAAAAAATGATCAGCAGAGTTTGGCTCCTCCTATCCCCAGGGGCTGACAGTAATTCCACTGAGCCTGAGGCTGGATCCCCAACAATCACAGTTGCCCAAGATTCAAATCTGCATAGCTCTGACAAGTGTTCCCATCACTGGAAAACAGACATGAACAGTCTTATCTAGTAGAGGTTATCCCAAGGTGTCAGCTAAGATCTGGGAATCCTGCACTTTGATTTGTCTGTAATACCCCTAAAGATACCCCCTTCCCACATCTCACTCCTCACAGACTGGAGTAGTCACAAGGCAACAGTAAAGTGGTGGGCAGGACAAGGGGGTGAACCAACACACAGATGAATATACTTTCTTTATCGAGGGGTGACAAACAAAAACAAAAAGACCAAACATGTAAAAACCCAGGGTGCTAGAAATGCAAACTCAATTCAGATTCAAGCTCATCTAGACCCTGGTCACAATCCCTAGTAAGGTGCATGTGAGCACCAAGTCAGGGAAGGGGACGAGAGTGAATTGCGGAGGCCAAGAGAAAGGGTGGGAAGGGGATCCTCCAGGTCCCCCGGTGTTCACCCCTACAGTGGCATCTCCATCTTCCTAATGACTGTGAAGATCTGCCAGGACCTGTTCTCTTGGCCCCAACCTCACCCTGGCCAGGGCTTTGAAGGCCAGTCCTGGTTGGTTCTGCCCTCCCTTGCTCAGTCCTCACTTGCTCAGGCTTCTAGCCTCACTCTTCTTCTCCTCCTCCTCCACATTCTTCTCTGTGATTAGTAGCAGGTTAGGTACTGTATAAGCCGCAGTGAGCCTGGGGGCCAGGAGAGGAGGGGTGGAGACGGGGTGAAGAGGAGAGAAGAGCTGTCCAAGAACCCCTCTCTTCATGGAATCCCAAACTGTACAACCAGCTCCTCTTTTGCGTCCACACGGATCTGAGAAAGTGCACTGTAAGCATAAGCAGCTATCCTGGATACCTGAGACAGAGGGACAGGGAGGAGAGAAGACATGTGAGAGGGAGAATTGGGAAAGTGGTGGTAGGGATGGCAACAAAGGAGAGAAGGAATGATGGAGGACAGTAAGCCAAAGAGAACCCGGTGTGATGGTATTTGCCTATAATCCCACCACTTAGAAGGCTAAGGCAGGAGGGTCACAAATTCAAGCCCAGCCCGGGCTATAATATTGAGACCTTATTTCAAAAAACGAAGGGCTAGGCCAGGTGTGGTGGCACACACCTTTAATCCCAGCACTTGGGAGGCAGGTGGATCTCTGAGTTCAAAGCCAGAGTAGAGGACTTGCCTAGCATGCAAAAAGCCCTGGGTTCTCTGGAAGGATGAGAGCGAGAAAGAGGAGAGAGGGAAGAAGGGAAGTGGGTAAATAAGACAACATGGGGCTGGAGAGATGGCTCAGAAGTTAGGAGCAAGTACTGCTCCTACATAGGACCCGACCTCAGTACTTAGCACCCACGTCAGGCAGCTCACAACTGCTGTTAACTCTAGCTCCAGGGAGGTCTGAAGCCCCTAGCCTCCATGGGGACCCACATACATGTGTTATACATAATTAAAAATAGTAAAAACCTTAAAAAAGCAAAGGCGGGCCAGGTATCACGGTGGCGCTTGCCTTTAATCCCAGCATTCATGAGGCAGAGACAAGCAGATCTCTGTGAGATCCAGGCCAACCTGGTAGTCTACATAGTGAGCTCTAGGCCAGTAAGTCAGCTGGGGCTACAGGGAGATCTTGTTTCAAAAAGAAAGATCAAGGGCAGATGTGGGGAGAATAAAGGTTACAGTAAAGGACTATGGGGAGATTGTAAAAACTAAGAAAGCAAGGCGGGAAAAAGCTGGATGCACCAAGTGCCAAGCGCCCTCCCTCTTCTGAGGTAGGGTAGTAAACCCTGCTATACTGTAGACAGTGTGGGAAAGGTACAGGCCAGGGGTTGCTCACCTGCTGCAAGTCAGAGAAGGGGATGGGCTCGCTGGCCAGCACTTGGTGGGGCTGGCTGGTCAGAGAGGGCAGCGGTGGCAGTTTCTTCCAATGGGTCAGGCTGCTGCTAAGTACAGCCAAGCGGGTGCTGGCCAAGAGGGAGGGGACAGGGAAGAGTTAATTAGGCTACAATTTGTTGTGCCGTGCCCTGCCCTGTCCAACCCAGGCAAGCCTTACTCCCTTAGGCCAAAGGAGCATGGTAACAGGGTACATTTCATCTCAAACTCACTCTGAGAACCTTTGACTGAATACATAGGGCAAACAGGGCTGACCTGAGTTGCCTAAGTGATTTGTTACCAGTCTTCTGGGCTGCACCCAAGGAAAGAGCCTGGATTGGGGACCAGACGCCAAAACTGAAAAGGGTGAAGGGAAGAGGCAGGGCCTGGCTGGCCCTGAGCTCACCTGTACTGCCTTGCCCTGTCCATGTACTCATGTTGCTCCATGCCCTGGGAGTCTGCAGCAGACACATCGATGATGTTGCTTTGAAGAGAAGAGACAGAGAAGACATGACAGGGGCTTCAGAGAGGGACAAACAGGACTCAGTGCCAGGTGCCAATTCCAGGGCTCTCTGACACCAATGCCCCTGCATGCCCACTGGAGCAGGGCAGCCCCAGAGACACCTTTCCCCAGTGACCATGTCCCATTCCCCATGCCCCAGAATGCCTCTGCCTCTGGCCTGGTCCTGTGACACTCACCTAGCTGTCTTGGCGAGGATGGAGGAGAGTAGGGCTTGCTCATCTGTGCGAGCTGAAGGCAAGCTGTAGCAGTTGGGCTCCGCTCCGTTGAGGGCTTTGGTAGGGGTGCTACTAGGGTCCAGCAGCAGCTTCCGCTCCTCCCGGTCCTAGAGGGGCCATCAGAGAAGTCAGCCCAGTATCTAAGTCCAACCTTCCTTTCCTTGAGAGATTCTCTTCTCAGTCCAGCTTGATCTTCAACTACTAAAACTATTTTTATAAAGATTATCCCAAGTGCCTAACTGGATAGGAAGTCAGACAACCTTCAGTCTCTGCCTGCCCCTCGGCACCTCAGCACAACTGGTGATCTAGGATAAACTTAGAGAACCTGAAAAAATTAAAAGAACAGAGTAGGCATTCAACAACAGCCTTGGAGCTTCAGAGAACCTGTTGGGCACCTGCTGGACAAAGGATATTGGGAGACTAGAAGTTAGAGGAGATGGGAAAACACCAAAATAAGGGTCAAGGAAGCCAGGCATGGTGGTATTCCCAGCACTCAGGAGGCAGAGGCAGGCAGATCTCTGTGAGTTCAGAGCCAGCCTGGTCTACATAATGAGTTCCAGGGCAGCTGGGACTACAGGGAAACCCAGTCTCAAAAAGATTGAAGGAAAAAAAAAAAAAAAAAAGAAAGGAAAAATAAGGGCATGTCAAAAACCACAGCAAGCTGGGACTACAGGGAAACCCAGTCTCAAAAAAATTGAAAGAAAAAAAAAAAAAAAAAAGTCAAGGAGAAATCAGTGCATGTCAGAAACCAAAGAACAGCCTTCCTGATCCCCTGGACAAAGCCCTTCCCTGCTGGCCTCAAACTTGCCATTCTCCCGCTTCTACCTACCAAGTGCTGGGATTGCAGGTGTGTGCTAGGTACTTTTTCTTCAGGGCAGGTCCTTTCTCCTCTTGGGTATTCACCCTCCTGTGCTCTGGCCTGGTACCTGGTACATACTGACCTGAGATAACAGTGTAACTTTTCCTTCTCACCTAGTCACTCTCCCAATTCAGCCTTTTTAGTCTTCAGCAGCCCTGCTACACAACCCCCAGAACTGATCTAGGACCAGCTGTCTCCCTAGTCCTGTTAATGATTTTGTTTCTCAGGCCCTTGTTCTAATCTACTGCTTTCTGGCCCCAACACTGTCTTCAGCCCATCAGCTGCAAATCCTTGCTGGCTTTGTGTCAGCTGCAAACTGGTTAAGCAGACCGCTTGGGTGTCTATTCAAACCATGAAGAGCTCAGGACAAGCCCAGATGGCATGGGGTGAATCCTGGCTAATTGATAACTCACCTACTCCACTCAGTACGCCCCTCCAGGCGGGTCTATTTGGCATTCCCTGTAGCAGGAGCTAGCTTCCAGCCCACAACTCTCCCTGCAAAGGGCTACTTCCTCCTGCCTTGCCTGCCCCACCTCAATCAAGCCCAGCCTTTCACCTTGTTCTTCCTCTTCAGGCCCAGATTGCCCAAGTGTCACCAGGCCATTTGATCTAGGTCACCATTGTATGAGAAAGCAGCTGTAGCCTCCTGCCCCATCACCTCTCCATTCCCTGACAGCCTGTCTTCCCCCTTCCTCACTATTAACAGGTGAAAAGCTTGCCAAAGTTGGAAATATCTCTAAGGACAGCTCAGAATGAGGCCCACACTGCTTCTTAGGTCTGTGTTTCCCCAGCCCCACTCCTGACAGATCTTCCTCCAGGACAGAGTGGTTTCTCCCTGTTCAGGGGTTCAAGAACAAGGTGGTTTTCCTGATTCCCTGAAGAGGCCTTGCAATCCCACTACGAGGACAGATAACCCCATACCCAAAGCATGAGTGGAACACAGGGGAGGTTTGTCACATCAAGGATTGCCCCCGGAGCCAATACAACCTCAGTCAAGGTTAGACTATTTACTTTAGCACAGACCCATGGGGCCTGCCCATACCTGACCCTGACAGCCTGGCCAAATAAAGCATGGCTTGATGTTAGAACACGACCTTGGCAACTGCTTCTCAGGCTGGCTAAATCATTTTAGATCTCTGAACTTTTCCCTCACCACTAAACAGATCTAACTCATACTGAGGTGACTGGCAAGAATCAAATAAGGACCAAATGTAATGTGTGGACCTTTCTTCTTTTTCTTGGAGACAGTCTCACTCTGTAGCCCAATGCCAGTGCTGAACTTACTATGTAGCCAGGTTGGCCACAAACAGCTCTCCTACCTCGGCCTCCAGAGTGTTAGGTGTAAGCTGACACAAATGGCCTTATTTAATAAAATGACCGGTAAGGACAGGATGGGACTGCTCAAAAATTGAAAGAGGGATGGGGAGGTAGTTCAGTCATAGAGTGCTTACCTAGAATGCACACAGCCCTGGGTTTAATCACCACCACTGCATAAAACTGAGCATGGGGGCACATACCTGTAATCCCAGCACTCAGGTGGAAGGAGGACGATCAGAAATTCAAGGATATCCTCAGCTACATAGCAAGTCTGAGATATGAGACCTTGTCTCAAAATTAAAAACCAAACTAGAAATGAGAGCCCATCAAGGGGAAGGTGGAAATTTAGGGGAGAAGCCTAGCTCCCCCACATAGAAGCTGCTCTCCTTTCTCATATTAACCCTGCCTCCTCATCTTGACCACATGCTTGAAGGGACAGTTTCCCTCCAGGGCACAGCTCTCCGTGTGAGTCCCAGTCAGGCTGGACTGTTGCTAACCCCTTTGTTGTTCTGTGGGTGGCTGTTTTGCTGCTGTCTCTGGATGAAATGGGAGACACTGGCCACGAGGTGTGCCCGACGAGAATTTGTGTTCACTGAGCATCAGGATCAGCTCTTTTTACCATCCAAGTAACATTTCCTGAACTTAGTTCCTAACCCAAAGTACTGTCACGGGGGAAAGAAGGACTCCCCAAGTAAAGTCATACAGTCTATTTCGGTGGCTACATCCCCCACTAGAATGGCTATCCTTTCTCTGTGTCCTGTGTGTGGAAAGGTAGAACCCAGACCTTGAGGCAGTTATAAAGGTGTGCTGGGGGCAGGAGGCTCCTGCTTGCAAAGGTTCTCAAAGGTGGCCAGGCAGGGCAGTGTGGAGAATGAGACTGAACCAAGGGAAGCTGGACAGTCTCTCCCAGGAATCAGATCTACAGCCTTCTCCACACAGGCACTCTCTAGTTGGAGGACTTCAGGCACCAGACAGGACCTGCCCTGAGGCAGGCCAAACTCAGAAACAATAAGCTCCCCACACCGTGATCTTTTCTCGCCTAAATCAGCCAAAGGTAAACTCGACTTACTGCTTCCCCAGAATCTCCATGTCCTCACTGTACCTACTGATTTCTTCACTGGCCAACTCAAATACCCCTAAACTTCTAGAAGCCTCCTCTGATACCAGACCAGCAGTGACATTACTTCTCCAACACTAGTAACAAAAGATTAACAAATTTCTCATTTATCCCGGGTGACTAACTCAGGGCCTCAGCTTACCCATCTCTACAATGGGTTCACAAAGCCCACGGAATCTGGGAAAAGCAGTGCTTCCCAGGCACCCAGGCTGAGAATCCTAGGAGCTGTAAAAGGACGAGGGTCCGGGAAGGTGGAAGGGCAAGGGCCTAGTCAGACAGGCGGCGTTACCACAGGCTGGGAGTGTTAACACCTGGCTCTTGTACAGGGGTAGGAGGCCGGCTCGGCGTCCTCTCTGTAGTCTGTCCCCTCAAGGCCTCCGTACTCAGTGAGCCCTGCAGTCCGGCTTCCCCTCTGCGGGGTCTTTTCTGGGCCCCAGGTCCCCGGGCCAAGGCCCTCCGTCCCAACCTCGCCTGTGCCGCCGCACCTGGTCCGAGTCCTCATTCTCGCTGCTGTAGCAGCACCCCATGGCCGGGGTCGGGCCGGGCGCTCAGGCGGCGCCGAGGAGGGACGGCGTCCGTCAGGAGCCCTTCCGGTCACATGACCCGCCGCGGCCTTCCTCCCCCGGCGACCCTGTCCCAGAGTCGCTTGGGGCTCGAGCCCCGACTTCCGGTCCCGCCCCTACCGCGTGACCGCCACCAGCCAATGGGAAGGTGCACCCTACGAGATGGCCATGGATCACGTGACCCGGGGCCCAAGGGGGGCGGGCCACGTGATTTCGCCGCTGCCTGGCCCGAGTGCTCATCTGACCTGGTCACGTGGCCCGAAGCCCCCGGTCGGGCCTGAATAAACTCTGCATGTGCACGCGAGGGAGCAATACCCTGGGTGGGGGCGGGGAGCCGGGGGAATACGTGGCAGTAGCTGTTTTTGTGCAGCCCAGCTGGCCTGGAAGTCACTATTACACCAGGCTACCTCCAGCTCACAGCTCTGCCTGCCTCTCCTTCCAGTGGTGGGATTAAAGGCGTGGGAATGAAACACCACACCTGGCAAAATTGTATTTCTATTTTGAGTGCCTGTGTGTATAGGTGAGTCCGAGGACAACTTTCAGGATTTGGTTTTCTCCTTGGCTTGCTTTGTGGGTCCTGGGGATTGAGCTCAAGTGGTCAGGCCTGACAGCGTGTAGTGGCACCTTTAGCCACTGTGCTATCTCCCCACACTATTTGGCAGTTTCACAGGCAGGTAGCACACTTGATCTCATCAGGTTGTTACTAGTTTCCGAGACTCAGTACAAACCTCATCTTCGTTTTTGCCTTTCTGGTCCCATTCTCTGAGCACCTCCAGCTCTTTGCTTAATCCAGTATCATTCATTCGTTAACACATTTTACTGTCTACAATGTGCCACCCAGTATATTTGGATAAGCAGCTGATCAGAAAACAAAAGTCCTTCCAATTGTAAAACCTCTAATCTGGTAATCACAATTCTGTTCTTGTTTTTGAGTTAACCTCTTCTGCTGAATGGAGTCTCTTGGAGGAGTCCCCAGATTCCGACTTCTTAGTGGCCTATGCCCTAACACCATAGAGAAAGCTTGAATTTTGAACTGAGTAAATTAGTCTCAATCATTTTGGCTTCCACCATGCTCCATGTCCTGATCCCAAGGGGTTGAAGTTAGCGGACCTAGTAACTTTTTTTTTCGGTCTTTTTGAGACAGGGTCTCCCTGTAGCCCCAGTCGTCCTGGAACTGTGTAGACCAGGCTGGCCCTCAACTCACAGAGATCCGCCTGCCTCTGCCTCTCTTAAGTGCTGGGATTAAAGTCATGCGCCACCATGCCCGGCTAAGTACCATTTTTCTAATCCTTCAGATCAAGACCCTAGAGTTCTGTTAGGTTTCTCAAAGGTTCCTGAAGAATAGGAGGCAGCTGGGGTTTGCTCTTGGTTCTGGTAACTTGAACTGCAGGTCTCAGGTAACAGCCTCAACATCAATAATTGACAGCAGGTCCAGCTTCCTCCCTCGGGTTATTCTTCTCAAGGACTTCCCATTTTGGTGCTCTGGTCATCACTAGGAGCATTCAGCCCAGGTAAGCAGGGCCGTGTGGGTTCCCCAGCACACCAGTTCATGCCCCACATCACTCACCTCTTCACATTCACGAATACACTCTGTTTTAGCATAAACTTCCCCCTCCAACAGAGGCCTGGACCACAGTCAGATCTGGAGTGAGAGGATGGATGAAAAAAGGGCTATTCCCTATAAGGGGTCCTGGAGAAGAAAGCCAAGTGGAAAGATACTGTATGGGGTGTGTTGTGTGCATGTATGCACTCATAAAGTTCTGAGAGAGTATGGGGTGGAGGGAAGTATTAAAGAAGGGAGATAGGACTGGAAAAAAAAATAGAATTAAGGAGGACTCATGCGTCCAGGGTAGAGCAGAGAGGGGAGTCCTGGGTAGAAAAAAAGCATCCCAGCCTAACATGGTAGAGGGTGTGCGTCTGTTTTTGAGACGGGGTCTCAAACGTAACCCAAGTTGACTTCAAACTTGATATCCTCTTGCTTCATCTTAATGCTGGGATTACAGATGTGTACCAACATACCAAGCATCCTGTTTGCCTTTTACTGAGGCAGAGCACAGTGACAGTGGGAAGGGCTTTGACTACAAAGCTTTTCTCTTTTGCTACACAGTAATGGGTCAGAGGAGACCAGGCAGGTGGAGGGTGATGGGAAGAAAGATATCCCAGGAGGAACTGATGAAAGAGGTGCTGAAGAAGGGTGATGTTAAAGAGGAAAAAAAATGGGTGGGCTCAGGGAGCAGTCTGAAAGAGACCCACAGACCAGGACTAGAAAGACGTAGTTTGTGGCTGGATGCCGAACATGGGCACTGTGTAGTCCTTGAAAGTGCACAGGCTTGGATCCCAACCACCTGGATTCTAGTCCCAGTTCTGTTGTGTGACTCTGGGCAGAAGACAGCCTTTCTTAGGCATGGTTTGTAGAATATGGGCATAGTAATTGCCACTGGTAAAGGCTGCACAAATGACAGGCAAATGATAAGTATGGCTTTCCCTCCCAACCTCCCTCTACCCCAGGACCCAAGTAGGGACAATGTCCCCTGCCATCGCACTGGCATTCCTGCCACTCGTGGTGACAATGTTGGTGAGATATCGGCACCACTTCCGACTGCTGGTGCGCACAGTCTTGCTGAGGAGCTTCAGAGACTGCCTGTCAGGACTGCGCATTGAGGAGCGGGCCTTCAGCTATGTGCTCACCCATGCCCTGTCTGGGGACCCTGGTCACATCCTCACTACCCTAGACCACTGGAGCAGCTGCTTTGAGTACCTGGGCCACATGGGACCTGTTAAAGGTCAGAGTTCCTTTCTCAAGCCTCTGTTTCACAAGTAACCCCAAGATGATGAAGGTGAATTGGGCAGCTTTGTGGTTGTGTCAGGGTCTCTTTTTTTCTCATCTGGAAATGAGGAGCCTGGACTAAATCATTCAATCATCCAGCAGACATTTATTGCCACTCTTTTGTACCAGGTGGTGAGGAAGGAGGTACAGGTCACAGAGGTGAACCAGCCACAAATGCTGGCCTCAAACACAGCATAATACACAGGGAATAATCATAACTCAGAGCTTTGTAATTATTTGTGTCCAAGTCTCTTTTCTACCATAGAGGCTTCCACATCCAATTCAGGAGAGCTGTCTGCCTCCTGAATTTTGCTTCTAAGTCTTAGGATAAGGGGGAAGCCGAGGGGATGAAACAGAAAGCCTTAGAGACCTGGAAAATGGGGTGGTTGTTTTTGGCTGGGCCCTCAGAGAGGAAAGAACATTTGAACTGAGCCTAGGAGTGGTTTCAAGTTGGCCAGGAGGATGGGGGTGGGGAGGGGCAAAGTCAGCCCCATATATAAATGCAACATGAAGGAATAGCACAGCATAGTTGATCCTGGGCATGGTTGCTGTTGGCCTGGATATAGGCTATAGGTGAGAAGAGCTGAGAGCTGAGACTGGAAAAAGGTAGGACAAGATGCAGTCTAAGGAGGCCCCAAATGCTAGGCTGAGGATCCCAAGTTCAGTCCTACTGGCTTTTAGAATCACAGGGATTGACGGGGTAAGATTTTTAAGGAGTTTTGTCATGGCTGATGTGAAGTCTAGACTTGGGGAGGCAGGGGCCAATGGAGCAGCTGGCACTCTAACCCCTAGAAGTGAGACTCCAGCTGGTTGGGAGCTACAGGGAAGAAGGGGGACATCTGAGATCTTTTTGACATTTTTTTTTCTTTTTGAGACAGGGTCTCATATGTAGCTGTGGCTGGCCTGCAGAACTATGTAGACCAGGCTGGCTTTGAATTCTGAGAGCTCAACCCACCTTTGACTCCCAAGTGCTGGGATTAAAAGCATGCATCACCATGCCTGACTAAGATTTCTTTTTATCAGGGGCCTGGCATCCATCTCACATGCCTTCTACAATAGCTGTCTTGCCCCGTAGGTCAGATTCTGATGCGGCTGGTGGAGGAGAAAGCCCCTGTTTGTGTGCTGGAGTTGGGCACCTTCTGCGGATACTCTACACTGTTTATTGCCCGTGCTTTACCCCCTGGGAGTCGCCTTCTCACGGTGGAGTGGGACCCACGCACAGCAGCAGTGGCTGAAAAACTCATCCGACTGGCTGGCTTTGACGAGAGAACGGTCAGCCTCCCTATCTCCCCAAAGCTGATCTCGTTTGCCATCACATAAGTTGGTCTAGCCAGGCCTCCTTTGTGAGGGACTCCCATCCAAGGAAGAGGAAGCAGTTCCACTCAGGCAGCTGGTATCTTGGAGGGCCTGTAGCTCCTACCTCCTAGTCCCAAGTCATCTGTATGTATTTCCTGCTGGGTTACAAAAGCATTACCTCAGAGCAAGCTCACTACAGCCCAGCAAACCTGAGTCCAAATCTTACTTCTGTTAGTTGTGTGACCTCAGGCGAAGCACACATCCTTTCAATCTCAGCTTCTTCCTAGGCACAAAATGGAAATCACAATACTGATCCTGACCTCTGGAGTTCTGAGGCCAGAGGAAATGTGAGATGCTTGTGGGGACCTAGACCAGTGCCTGGGGTGAATGAGTCAGATCCTGGTGGGGTCTAGAGTGGGAAGGCAATCCTTCCCACCCTCACCCCCAGCTCCTCCTTCCCCTACAGGTGGAGCTCATCACAGGCAGCTCGGAGGAGGTGATCCCACACCTACGATCCCAGCACCAGCTGAGTCAGGCAGACCTGGTGCTCCTGGCACATCGACCCCGGTATTACCTGCGGGACCTGCAGCTACTGGAGGCTCATGTGCTGCTGCCAGCTGGTGCCACTGTGTTGGCTGACCATGTGCTTTTTCCTGGTGCACCCCGCTTCTTACAATATGCCAAGAGCTGTGGCCGCTATCGCTGCCGCCTCCATCACACCAGCCTCCCAGACTTCCCCGCCATCAAAGATGGTATAGCTCAGCTCACTTATGCTGGACCTGGCTGAGGTCTAGAACCTGTGGTATTTACTGATGTACCCCAGCCCTACCCAAGCAAGGACCTCAGAACATTCCCCTTTCATTCCTGTTTAGGGTCTAACACATGCTGGGCTCAGGGCTAGGGAGGCCTTCTTCCCAACTTTGCCCCCCTCCGGCCTTCATACTGATCCAAAGTGTCAAATTCTATCAGGCTACTTGTTCCCACAAGGTTCCACTCCTAGAAAGCCAGGGACTAGCAGGCAAGAGGTCTGAGCTCTCAACCCAGCTCTGTTAGGGATTTCTAACTCCACCAGAGTCCTTCCCTCCTCTGAGATTCAGTCTCCTTTCTTAATACTAAGGCCCTTGGCTCTGAGCTTCATCCCTAGTGCATGCCATTCCGGATGGGATCAGAGGAAGTTGAAGACAATGAGAATCCCTGAAGGAGCATCTGGGTACAAGCTGGGTCACAGAACTATCTATCACAGGAGCCTGGGCCCAGATCTCTAGTCCTGGCCCACCTAGCCCATTAGGTTTGCTAGACATCCCTTGAGTGCCCCCTTCCCACAGCCTAAGCGAAGATGCTGGACTCTTCTGGACCCACCAACAAACAGGGAATAGACATTGGGGAAAAGAATCAGTCCTATGTCTTTATTAAAGAGGGTTAAAAAGGGACCAAACCTGGCAACCAAGGAATGAGGTACTGGCCAGGAAGGTGGGGTGGACTCAGGCTCTAGGGAGTCAAGGGAAGACCAACGGCCTGGAAGGGCCCAAGGAGACCATGTCCTGGCAGCTGCTGAGGAAGTACCTAAGGGAAAGCTTTAGGTACTGCAGCTGCAAGCAGGTTTTGAGGGCTGAGGGGCTGAGGCTGTGGATACAAGGTAGGTCGGAGTGGCCTGGAATCACCCTGAGGCCACCCTGCCTTGTCTACCTAGATCATCCACTGGTCCTGATCCTGTTCGTTGCCTTCCATGTCCACCTGAAGAGGAGGCTGGGTGTGGGTGGGGAGGGGCCTCAGCCAGCCTCAGCCCAGTTCCTGCCCCTGGGTGGAGCCAGGGTTTCTGCATCCCTTGGCCATCAATTAAATCAGGGGCAGGAGCCCGGGAACAAAGGCACTCCCCTACACCCCGCCTACCTCATTGACCTCTCCATCATCAGGTGACTCATTATAATCATTCATCTCATCCATGTCCTGCATGTCCTCATCATCCTCTGAATCCTCTTCACTGTCCTCATCGTCTTCATCATCCTCCTCTTCCTCATCGTCATAGTGCTGGGGGGGCAAGGGAGAGCCTGTAGACCCTTCAAGACTACTTGGATCAGGTCAAGCACTGGCCCGCTTGAAGCCTCCCTCTTCCCGACCCTGCCCACCTAGAGTCTGGCAGGTGGCTATGTGTAGGACCTTAGTGCTAGGCCCAGTGCCTACCCCCTCAAGTTCTCCTTTCTGGTCTCAACCCAGACTGAGAACCAGAATTGCTCTGAGTCAGAAGCAAAATCATTCAAAATTAAAATGAAGCCTTGGTCCACTGGGCCTCAACAGGCCCCACCCACTGGGGCCACTCACCTCTGAGGCTGGCTTGCCAATAGGTACCAGGTTGTTGTCTTTCTCTGCAATGCTTTGGAGCTGTGGGCAGAGCAGTATGGGGAAAAGCAGGGCCAAGGCCCAAGCAAGCAGGTCAGGGGCATGAGACTGGCTTACTTTACCCCTTAAAAGATCCCCCCAAATGTTAGAAGCTTCCCCCCAGTTCTCAGGAAGATCCAATCCCTTTTTCTCCTGGTGTCTGCTCCTTATAAAGTTGATGGTAATACTTTCATCTCTTGGCCTCAGTTTCTTCATATAATTGGGGCAAGGTGGAAGTCAAAGACAGCCTGGAACATGGCATCTTCTAGGTTCTCAGTAAGTAGCTAAAATGATTAATTCCTGAGATTTTTAGAAAAAAGCTTAGGCTGTTAGGAGTCTGGCCTCTAATCTAGCCCATAAGTCTTATGGTGCCTCAGCAAGTTAGGACACCACAAAGTGAGTACCTTAGCCCCCAAGCTCCCAGTCTGACTACTCCCAACCCACAGCAAAATGGTTTTCTGGGGCAGGTCTCTAGGATAAGGCTGGGTCATAGCTCAAGGAGGGTACATCTCAGTCCCTGGTCCTCACTCACCCAGGCCTGATGTTGCTGCTCCTGCTGCTGCAGCTCTGTCTCCTCCACACAGGGTCGATCCAGATTAAACCACAGTGTCTCAGTCACCCGGGGGAAGAGTGAGGGGAACAAGGTGGACATGGCTCCTAGACTGAGAGAAAGGGTCCAAGTAAATGCTTTGTTTTGTTTTAAATTTGGTTGTAATTTGATTTAGGAATGGGGCAGAGAGGGAGGTAGCAGAGAAGCAGCCATTCCATCTTAAAATCAGACAGACCTGAGTTTGAGTCCTGGCTCCACCACTTACTAGCTGTTTGACTTTGGCCAGTACACTTAACCTCTCTGGGCCTCAGTTTCCTCATCTGTAAAATGGGGATAATAACAATTATATCACCCTCAAAGTTTCTGATAATTAAAATAATGGATAAAGCTGCAGACTGATCAAAGAGAAGAGACTGGGAGCCAGAGATGGAGGCTGGCATTATCATTATATGAAATTAACAGAGATTTACTAAAATTATCTTCTCCCCCCCACCCTAAAACATTTTTGTTGCTTGATGATCCATACCACACACACCCAGGGCAAAAATATTTTGGATACTAAACACCTCTCTCAGGGACCACAGTCAAAACTGCATGGCATTCATGCATGCACGGATGGATGTTTCAAGAGGCACAAATAAATGGAAGAGTGAATGGATGTATTAGCAGCAAGAAAACAAGTAAAATCAACTCTGGGCACTGAGGCTGCTGAACAGGAAGGTCACTAAGAATTTGAATTAAAACCCATCAGTTGCTGGATGTGGTGGCGCCTGCCTTTAATCCCAGCATCTGGCAGAGACAGGAAGGTATCTGTGAATTCCAGGCCACTGAGAGCTAGGTAGTGAGACCCCTTCTCAGAAAACAAAAATAAATAAATAAAACCAATCAGTTCATAGAATCTGCAAGAGGCAGAGACTTGAGTAGGCTGCATTAAGGAGCCGGGCTTATAACTCCTCAGAGGGACGGGATCCAGGCTCAGCACTGAAGGAAGAGCACAGAAATAAACAGGATCTGTATCGCCTCCCTTGCTTTTGTTCCAATTTATTCGACTGACCCAGGACTAGCCGCTGCCATTCCCGGGAACAAGGCTCCCCGGCCCGTGAGCACAGGTACGACGGTGGCCACCCTCATCCCCAAAATCCTGACAGGCCGGAGAGCCAGCGTCCTATTGCCCTCCCCACCCCCGCCCATTCCTGGCTCATTATGGTAATGAGCGGGCACTCTGCCAACAGGAAGGAAGCAGGGGTCGGTCTCGGACAGGCTCTAGTCCTTATAGGGTAGCTCAGCCCAAAATGAGCGCGGGCTGGGCAAAGCCAATTAACTGGAAGAACTGCTGGGTGACAGGAAGTGAAACCAATGACTGACGGGTCTGCGCGAGGGGCGGGGCTTAGCCTCTAGGAAGCGGCCAATAAGCAGGAGCTCCTTAAGGGTGAAGGAGCGGGATGTAAAGCTCCAGAGGAGGCGAGTCGGAGCAACTGGGGTTTTCTGGAGGTGGGAAGCAAGAAGAAGGAGCTGGCTGCAGCTTCGCTTCCGTACTTACCGCGCCCGGAGCCGGCAGCCGGCGGCGACCCGGAAGCGCTTCTCCAGGCCGGAGCGGAAGAACCCACCAGAATCCGGACTCACTCAACGCATGCGTCCTTTGTCTCCTTTTGTTTTCCCGCTCAGGCCCACAAACCGGAAGTGACGCACACCTTAGTAACGAACTAGGTGCGGAAGGAAATTAATTTGCCAGGCCTACCTATTGGCCGCACCTTAAATCTCAGCCGGTGGGATGCTTCAGATTGGCCTCCCTGTCAGGGTTCTTTTAATCCCTTCCTGCTGTCAGCGTCTCTGGAAAATCTGTTTCTACCATTCCTATCTATTCTCTCAGACTCAGTTTCCCCTTTGAGCACATTCATTCTTTTTTTCTTTTTGCAGTGTTAGGGATCAAACCCAGGTCCTTGACAATGTTAGGCAAGCCCTCTGTCACTGAACTACATCATTTTAATTTTTTTTCTATATGCTCAGGCTGGGAACTTTCTTAGACCTGACTGGCTTCACATGTAAGATTCTCCTGCCTCAGCCTCCCCATCCCTGAGATTACAGGTTTCACACTGAGCATATACGGGGTCAGGATTTCGCTCTATAACTCTGGCTGGCCTGGAATTCTCTTTGTAAACCAGGTTGGCCTCGAATTTACAGAAACCTCCTTTCTCTGCCTTCTGAGTTCAGGGATTATATGTGTGTACCACACCCGGCCTTAATTGTTCGTTTATATATGCTTTGGACAAAAGTGGAGTTTCTTATCTGTTCCAGGCTCTGCTACAAGCCAGGAATAAATCTATGAACATGGGCATTGAAAATCCTTAGGACAGACTTGAGGAACTAGTCAGCCGTAGGCACAACTTTCTGTTTCTGGAAAACTTAACTGGCCCTCAGGTGTGACCCAGATCCCCTTAGAGGTCATCTTGGTCACCTCTTCCATTTTTTTATTGATGCTTCTGTTCTTGCTTCCAATTTAGTGTTTCCGACCTTTTTCAAGTCCAGCAACCATTCTTAGTGCCACTCTTCTCTCAAACAGATTTGGGTAAATCTTTTTTTTTTTTCTTTTCATGCGTGTGGTGTGCGTGTGTGCATACATGTTCAAATGTGTGTGTGCGTGTGTGTACAGGTGAGCACATAGCGTTGAGGCAGGGTCTTTCAGTGAAACCTAGAGCTTGCTGATATGGCTAGTCTGGCTAGCTGCTTCCTTTGGGGAGTCCCTGTCATAGCTACAATTATAGGCCGGTTGGTCTTTCCACCCAGCATTTATGTGGGTTTTAGGGATCCAAACTCTGGCCTTCACAGCTTTTGCAGCAAGGCAAGCACTTAAACCTCTGAGTCATCTCCCCAGGCCTGCAAATCCTTCTATCTACACTGTTTTTTCTTTAACTGGAATCATTATCTGCCCAGCGCTCTGCCTGTCCTAGGCTGATGTGAAGAGTGACTGTTATATTGCCAATAAGTTCTTGTTTTTTTTTAACTTTAACAGCCCTGCTTCTTAAATATTGTGTGGACCGGTGTGGTGGCACATGCCTTTAATCCCAGCACTCTGGAGGCAGAGGCAGGTAGAGCTCTGTGAGTACAAGGCGAGCCTGGACTACATAGTGAGTTCCAGGCCAGCTGGGACTACAGAAAGACCCTGTCTCAAAAAGACCACCCCCCAAAATTGTGGTAGACCAGGCCTATAATCCAAACACCCAAGAATCTGAGGCAAAAGGATGGAAAATTCAAGGTTAGACTGGGCTATATACCAAGTCTGAGGCCAGCCTGAGCTGCACAGTCAGACCCTGACTCTGTCTCACAAAACCAAGAGTAAATTCTTAAAAATAAGAGCTGGTAAGATGGCACAGTGTAAGCACTAGCCACCAAGCCTAATGATCTGAGTTTGATATACAGACACACACACTATTTTTTTTTTTGCTTTTTTAATGTATATTTTTATTTAATTTTTGTACATTTCTAATTTAAAGTTTTAAATATTTTATGTATATGAGTGTATTGCCAGCATACATGCAAGTGCATCTGTGGGTACATTGCCTGTGGAGGTCAGAAAAGGGTGCTGGGTCCCCTGGAATTGGATGGATGGATGGCTGCAAGCCAACTATGGATGATAGGAACTAAACTGAGGTCCTCTGCAAGAGCAGCCAGTGATCTCAACTACTGGGGCCATCTCCCCAACCCTACTCAAAATAAATAAATCTTTAAAAAATTAATTAAAATCTAAAAAGTAAATCCATGGGGCTGGAGAGATACATGCAGGCAATACACTCATACACATAAAACTACCAAATGAAATTTAAAAAATAAAAAAAAATCCAGAAGTAGTAGGTGAGAAGTGGTTGAATTTTGGATATATTTAGAAGGTAGAGACAAAATTTTCTGAGAGATTGGATGTAGATTTTAGAGCATCCAGGGAAGAAAGAAACCTTAAATTTTGACCTGAACAATTGGAAGATTGGTGGTGCCATTTTCTGAGGTTGAAAAAGCTGTAGGTGCTTTTTTTGTGGGACACTCGATGTGTTGAGTTTGAAATGTCTGTTAAAGTAGAGGTGTTGGCTGGACATGGTGGCACACACCTTTGATCTCAGCACCTGTCAGTTCAAGGCCAGCCTGGTCTACATAATGAGTTCCAGGCCAGCCGGGGCTACAGGGAGACTCTGTCTCTAAAATACTTCCCCGTAAAAAAAAATAGAGATATTGAGGCATGAGTCTGTGGATCAAGAGTGGGACCTGGGTTAGTTATTTTAATTCAGGAGTTCTGTTAAGTTACAGGTCTGGATGACCTCACTGCAGGAGTGAATATAGATGGAAAATAGTTTCCTTCTATATTAAAATTTTTGAGAAAACTGAGAGAGCAGCAAATCAAATGGATGGAGAAATTTCAAAAGATATGTAGAAAGCCAGGCAAGTTGGGTGGTATCCTGGAACTGAGTACAGAAATGGTATACTGAAGGGGGGAAGTGTGAACTACTGGAGTCTAGTTCTGTACAAAATTGTGTTTCTGTTTGTCTCCCCAGCAGACTAGAAGCTTCTAGAAGGCAGAGACCGAATGATTTCTGTGCCACTGGGGCCCAGCTGTACCTTCTGGATACCTCAGTCCTATGGCTAGCGTCCCTAGCTGTCTCTCCTCTATTGCTTTTTCTTGCAGGATTACTACTTCAGAACCCTTCACCTCTCACCCTTCCTGACAGCTCTGGTCTCCTGGAAATTCCCCATAGCTTCCAGTTCCCGGCCCTGAAATTCTTCAGTCAGGTTCACCAAGTCATAGTGACTAATTAGCTGGTGATAGTCATTGAATGTCAGCTGAGTGCTAAATATCTTGTTAGGCTCCTAAAAAAGAGACGAAACAGAAAAAAATCCTGCCCTAGATAAAAATGAAGTCTAGTGAGGGCTAAGACAATTATAGAGGAAGGTGATTAATGTGAAAATTAACGTATGCAGAAAATGCAGAGGTGAATGGGCTCCTGACAAACTGAATTTACACTATCTTGTTCCAAGAAGGAAATATTTGAGTGGGCTTTGAGGAACGGAGGAGGAGTTAATCCTTTTGGTAGACAACCGGGAGAAGGGGGCGTACAAAGAAGTGTACTCATTCAAGAGAAAGTGATTATATGTTGGAAGAACAGTGAGAACCCAGAAGTAGCTAGATAGGACTAGAAGACTAATATTAGGGGACCCAGATGGGGAAGGACTTTGGAGGTGATGACATGAACTGGGTGCAATGGGCATTGAGTGTTGGGGTCTTACCTTGGTCCTATCGTTGACTTTCTGGGGGAACCTTAGGGAGGTGACTTCCCATCCCCAAGCTTCCATTTTCTTTAATGTCTTGACCCTGTTTCCAGCTCTGAGGTGACTCCACGAAAGAGGTTCACCAGACCTGGCACTTTCTGTCATGATTTTTTTTTTTTTTTTTTTTTTTTTTTTTTTGTCTTTTTGAGACAGTTTCCCTGTAGCCCCAGCTGGTCTGGAACTCACTATGTAAATCATGCCACCTTGAACTCACAGAGATCCACCTGCCTCTGCCTCCCAAGTGCTGGGATTAAAGGCACGCGCCACCATGCCTAGCACTCTGCCATGAAATTTTATCTACTCTTTTGTGTTTTCATGAAGCAGAGCCTGGAAAATTAAATGCAAGGTTAGGATGGAGATGTCCCAACAACCAGAAATAAATCCAGAGCCCACAGGCTGGATGGAAACCTGTGACTCTGTAGAGAAGTTTCCAGGATCCAGGAAGGGCTGGGACTGAGTGGTGTGAACTTCAGTGACCAGTTAATGCTGCTTACTCACTTGTCCCATTAGCTTTGGAAGCAAGGCTGGCCCTGCCAGGGGATAGAGGAGACTGTCCCAGCCACCATCTTCCATGACTATAGAGGCTTCATTTTCAAGTCTCATGTCCTCACCCTCACCCTGGGAATCCTTTGCCAGCTGATCACAGAACAAAGGCTCCAAGACATTTCTCTACAACTCATTCTCTTGCCCTGTTTAGGACTAGTGCCTTTCTATATGAGTCAGTGAATAAATTTCATATACTTGCAGAAAGAAAGAAAAAGAAAGAAGGAAGGAAGGAAGGAAGGAAGGAAGGAAGGAAGGAAGGAAGGAAGGAAAAAAAGGAAAACTGGTTCAGGATTTTCTGTTTCTTTGGGTTGTTTGTTTGTTTGTTTTGAGACAGGGTCTCCCTATGGAGCACTGGTTGACCTGAAACTGATGTAGACCAGACTGGCCTCAAACTCAAAGAGATCCCTTTGCCATTCAAGGAAGAAGGAACAGAGAAGAGAGAGGTCAGTGGGACAGCAGGAGGCAGAGAGAAGTACCAGGAGCATCTGCACAGCCAGGGTCCACTGTCAGGGGCCAGGCACGTCCCAGAAGAGGTGCAGTGTGGGAAGTAGAGGAGGTGGATGAGATGGATGCCTGTGTCAACCCATTTCTAGCACTGAAGTCTGGAAGATTCCACAGTCAAACCCAGCACTCAAAAGGCAGGAGCAGGCAGATCTCTGTGAGTTCAAGGCCAGCCTGGTCTACATAGTGAGACTCAGTCTCAAAAAGAGAAAGAAGGAAGGATGGAAGGAAGGAAGGAAGGAAGGAAGGAAGGAAGGAAGGAAGGAAAAAGGAAGGAAAACTTGAGACTCAAGAAAGCAAAGTGGT